GGAAAAGACCCTGATGCTGGGAGGGATTGGGGGCAGGAGGAGAAGGGGACGACAGAGGATGAGATGGCTGGATGGCACCACCGACTCGATGGACATGAGTTTGAGTAAACTCCGGGAGTTGGTGATGGACAGGGAGGCCTGGCGTTGTGGGATTCATGGGGCTGCAAATAGTCGGACACGACTGAGCAACTGAACTGACCTGAACCGAAAGTCCTCTCCTGACCACTGAGGAAAAGAAAGAAAGATTCCAAGCAGGCTGATCAGCGGCAGAGCCAGCCTCCCAGGGAGACAGTGGTTCACCGGGAGCCCTGCTCTGGGCGCCTGAGGCCACTTGCACCTCTGAGTCTCCCCACCGGCCCCTTCTGCCCCAGCTGCCTGCTTGTTCTCATCTCTTCTGTGCCGCGTGGCTTTGATTTACAAGTGACCCCTGCTGTCTCCTGTCGTCTCAGTGGCTCTGAGCTGCTTCCAGTTGGCTCCATCTGCTAAAGAGAGACACGCTTCGCTTAGCACATCACTGGCCATCAGCACCCTCCCCAGATCAGCTCAGTTTCTAGGAGGGGTAGGTAGGTCACCACCCTTGTCTAGAGCTTTCCAAGGGTTGGTTGTTTATTCCACTGGCCCTCTGGGAGATGGCCCCAGCAGGAGGCTCTGTCTTTTATTGTCTTGATTTTGTGTGGTTACCTTGCCCTGCTCACAAAACCACTGACCTGTGTTTGTCAAAGAGTCCCTCGTGGCAATTAACTGAAAAAGCCCTGCAGTTAGCAAAGCAGAAAGATTTCTAGGCGTGAGTACCTGGTGAGATGGGGTGCAGCTGACCTCGGGCATGCCTGGAACCAGGAGCTCTGCTTCTCAGCCCGCTCTTGTGCTGGCTTCGCTCTCTCAGGCGGGCTGACAGTACGAGACTCACAGCCTGAGTGGTACATCTTTAATTTCCTTGCCTTCCTCACTAGAGGAACTTGAGACTGTCGACCTCAACCATGGTCTAACTTGAATTCCAGTTCAAATAAACTGTGCTTTAAAAAAATGAAAATTTCCACCTGACTTGATATTTGATAATATAAGAAGACACAGTTAATGTTTAAGACAGGGTAATACTACGGTGCTTTTTTTTTTTTTATCACAGCCTGAGTGGTACATCTTTAATTTCCTTGCCTTCCTCACTAGAGGAACTTGAGACTGTCAACCTCAACCGTGGTCTAACTTGAATTCCAGTTCAAATAAACTGTGCTTTAAAAAAATGAAAATTTCCACCTGACTTGATATTTGATAATATAAGAAGACACTGTTAATGTTTAAGACAGGGTAATACTACGGTGCTTTTTTTTTTTTTTAAGAGTCCTTATCTTTTGAAATTCACACTGTGAAAGCTGTTGGAAATTTGCTTCAAAATAATAATTCAGGGAGAAGTGGGTGAGAGTTGGGGTGAAAAAAGATTAAAGAGGACCCTTCCTCACCAGAGCCAACTGGAAAATTCCAGAAAAACCCTGATTGGGTCACATACCCACTTCTGCCCAAAGAGACGCTTATGGTTGAACTGGGAAGGAGAAAATCTCTCCTCAGGAAAAGACCTCGGCTGATAAAATAATACATGTCTATTTGGGGATATCAAAGAAATTTTTTAAAATTTATTTTGACTGTGCTACATGGCATGTGAGATCTTAGTTCCCTGACCAGGGATCAAACTTACCACTCCCTGCAGTGGAAGTATGGAGTCTTAACCACTGGACCACCAGGGAATTCCCCAGAAATTATTTCTATTCCCAAGCATTTTGAGGCTGCATGTTTGGCCCAAGAGACCCGAAAGGTTAAATTTTCCATTTAGTGTTTCAATCTCATTTAATGCAAATTTTTTCTCAATAAAGCGTATCACTAAGCATGATTTGTTTTTGTACACTTTTATATAGCTTCATATGAATGAGTGACTAAATTTGAAATTTACTTGTCAAATCTTATGCCCTTGTTTAAAAAAAAAACAAAACTTGGCGCCTTGCTCTACCACTGAGCACACTAGAAAAATTAGCAAGAATCTCTGACTCTTTCTTCTTCTGTCATTTGAGCTCTTCATTTATCTACTGACCCACTTGAATGGGATCTTCGTGACCTTAGATTCGGTTGATTGTCCAAGTCCAGGTGTTGTTGACCTACCAACAATGGATGGAAGATGTGCTTGCTTAGCAATTGAGAAATAATGTTTTCCACATTAGACTCTGTTTGAGGTGTGAGGTCTTTTTTGCTATGTGCCTGATAATCATCACTCCAAACTTCTTTGCATGGAACTCTCTTGCGAGTGGGAGGGCAGGAAATTAGAGTTTGTAAAGTCCAGATCATGCTATCCCCTCTTAGGCTGCGACTTAATACAAGACTTAATGGCCTCGCTAATGGTTGGTGGCAGGGAGAAATGTCTGGAAGGAGAACAGGAACGGTAGGAAATGGGCAAGGAAGTCACATAAAGGGGGAAACCACAACTGGCATTGGACGAAAGCTACGGGAGTGGAAAGAAGAGATGAGTCTGGGAAACACTGAGAGAAGAACACATAGAGCTTGGTGACTAAGCAGATTTACAGAGAGAAGAGGAAGGGAGGGAGTCAGAGACAGCCAGATGCCTTTCATCCGTGATGGAGGCAAAGGAAATGCTCAACCGGTAACAGAAAAGGAGAAGTTGGGGGTGAGAGCCTGGTGCTGGACAGTTTCAGACATACTGAGATCAGACAAGACAGGAAACCGCCTCCCTCCTAGTTAATATTCAGGAGGGGAAGTGCAGAGAGGTGGAAACCCCAGGCCCAGTGAGGGGTCAGGGGGCGCCAGAGGGGGCACTCACCGACAGAAAGGCTCACTAGGTGGTCTTCACATTCCTGTATGTGGCCCTCAAAGTGCTGAGAGGAAGCAGCTGGAATAGACCCACTTTTTTCTTTCCTCTTTTGCTGAACTTCTTATTACAGAACATTTTGAAAATAAACAAAAGTAGAAATAACATGACGAATTCCAGTGTTCCTGTCACCTAGCCTCAACACTGATCAGATTGTGGTTAACCTTGTTTCATCTCAACCCTCACCCATTTCTCCCTGTGTTATTTTGAAGCAAGTTCCAGACCTCATAGCTTTCCCAATAAATATTTCAGAAGATAAGGACTTTCAAAATTTAAGAATTTCAAATGGACTCAAAAAAAAAAGCACAATACCATTATCATGCCTTAAAAATTAACAATATTTTTTTTTAATCAAATACCAAGTCAGGTTCAAATTTTCATTTTTTATAAAACAATTTATTTGAATTAGGATTCACATTAGACCACAGATTGGGATCGATGATAGACTCTTTTAAGTCTCTTTCACTCTGTGGATTCTCTCCGTCCACCCCCTCTCTGATCTCCACTCCATACTCCTCTTTCTGTTTATCTTTGAAGAAGCAAATATGTTTGCCCAGAGAATTTCCCACACTCTGGGTCTTGCTGGTTGCATTCCCCTGGTATCAGCATGTTCGTCCTCCTGTATATGTTCTGTAACCTTGAAGCCCTGATGAGATTTAGACCCAGCTTCATTTTTGAATGTTATGCAAAAAGATGTCCAGTGAAGGGTGTTGTAGGGAGTCAGGGCAGCAGATGCAATCAGCGGGGAAAGTGTGAACTGAGAGGGGTCTGAGGCCCCTGAGGCCCCTTAGGAAGAGTGACATTTGAGGGGCAGGTAGAAAAAGACACCTGGGAACCAGGGACAGAGGTGCGGGCCAGGCCAAGGCTGAAGCTCAGACCAGGTGGTGGGGCACACAGGTGTCTTCAGTCCAGCGGTGGCAGAGTTGCTTACCCTGAATTACCTGCAGTAGAAAGCAAAGGTTCTTCTGCAGGGGGCTTCGGGTGGCCCTGGGGAGAAAACAGGCGCAAACACTGCCAGATGTGTGTGCGTTGCAAGAACCAAGCTGAAAACCAAACAAGCACAGCTCCTGGCGGCTTTGCTCTGGCGTCCCCTTGGTGGAAGGGGCAGCCGGGCTTGATGCCTGAGACCCCCCACATGATGGGGCCAGATGGGGTCCCCCGGGGCCTCAGTGTTCCCACCTCTTGCAATAGTCCCTGCAGCTGCCTTTGCAATTACACCCTCACCACCTGCCCGCCCAGTGCCCTCCTTCCTACACAAGGGGTGTTCTTTTCCGGCTGGTGCCAGGCTCCTCCTCCAGGTGCTGGAGAGATCCCAGGGATGCCTGCTCTCCCTCACTGCTCAGGGGTTGTTGTTCAATCGCTCAGTCACGTCCGACTCTTTGTGACCTCATGGACTGTAGCCCGCCAGGCTGCTCTGTCCATGGAATTCTCCAGGCCAGAACACTGGAGTGGGTTGCCATGCCCTTCTCCAGGGGATCTTCCTGACCTAGGGATTGAACCCAAGTCTCCTGCACTGAAGGCAGATTCTTTATCGACTGAGCTACCAGGGAAGCCCCTGGCTCCTAGTAAACGGCCAGGACTGGGGAGGCAGGAGAGGTAGGAGAGGAAATGTAGCATCTTATTGAACATGGAGACAGGAGTTATGCTGGTGCTGATATACATGCAAAGACTAACTTCCGGGCACAGGAGTGTTAAAAACTGCTGAGGTGGAAACAGGCAATTTTTGTTTTTCCTCTCCCCATAAGGTAAAGCCAGTCTATGTAGAGTGAAAGAAGTTTTGAAAGAAAACGGATGCCTGCCGCAGGAAACCTCCTGCCAACACAGCTCATGTCCTCACCAAAAGCCCCCTAAGAGGATCTCAGCCTCAAACGAGGCCCAGGGCGGAGGGCGGGCCCTGTGGACGCGGCTGGTCCAGAGGTGCCCGGGTGTTGCTGGAGCTGAGCCCTGGGTCAGGAATGACTTCAGCCCCAGGCTCTCAAGACTCCACAGGCCCCTCAGCCCCCACCTCTGAAAGCAGGGACACATCTTCCCATCCAAAGGCATCTCTAAAGGAATTCTGCCAGAAACCACTTAACCAGCCAACAGAGCCACCAAGCAACGCATTTCCAGGACGTGAACCCTTCTCCCCATGCCCACTGAACAGGATGCAAGTTCCCTGAAGCCCTCACAGAAAAGCTTCAAAGGTCACAGGGTCAGGCCTGGTAAGTGGCCAATGTCTTAAATACCCCTGCAGGCCCGGAGCCTCCAGGACAGACCTGGGTCGTATGCACGCCTGCAAAGCGGACTGGTTAGTGGGCCTCTGTGCTGCGGAAGTCAGCCTTCAGCTCTCAGATAACCCACCATATGGTACTAACAGATGCAATGCTCGTTGGTTTGACTGGGCAAAGAGGATAGGTTTAACTTCTGGGTGATTTGGATTTTCACCAGTATTGTTTCCCTGTTAATAAAGACATCGCTTTTTACAGCTTGTTGCTTTTCTAAAAAGTATTTTCTCCCTCTGACTTGGACAAATAATCAAGAAGGTGATTAGAGGGGAAAGAATATGGGAAGGAATCATGGGAGATATGCTTTAAAACCACAAATCTGAGGAAAAGGAGACGTGAGGGTTTTTCTGTTTGTAATTGCAGTTAAATTGCACAGCACAGTGCTGTAGAAGTGAATTGTGATGCCAGACATTCTCTGCCCAGCTCCTGGCTGTTGATACATTTTAATTCTTGTATGTGTCATTAACAGTTGTAGTGTATATTAATTATCTGCCATCTGCCCTCTCTTTTAAATATAGCTCTGAATTAAGGGATTTTATGTGCCTTTTGTTTTGTTTATATAACAAAATTTTGGGTTTTTTGTTCATACTTCAAAATGGAAAGAAACCAAGTATTCATTTTTAGAAGCTCATTCTCTAAAGTTGAAAGAGATTTTTTTTTAAATGTATTTCTTCTCTTAAGGTTGTTTGATAATCTGAATTCATTAAAGCATTCAAAATGTAGAAGTCCAAGTTTCATACCTTAATGGCAGTAAGAGTCCAACAGCTAAAATCCAATGACCTGGTTTTCTCTTAAAGAGACAGAACTATGTGTATAAATAGATTAAAATAGCAAATACTCATTAATGTAGCCCTTATTAAATACCAGGCACTGTTCTAACTACTTTCATAGTTATTAACTTATTTCATCAATATAAAAATTCTAGACTAGGCACTATCATTATCCCATTTTATGGATGAAAAAACTGAGGTACAGAGAGGTTAGATAAACTTGCTAAGGGATAAACCTTAGGAAGCAAGGGAACCAGCACATAAAACCAAGTTGCCTGGTCCCAGAGCCACATTCTTGTCCGATTGCTATGACTTTCAAAACTAAAAAAGATCTTCCCCTTAGGACACAGCAGTCCTTCGGGGGAGCTGCTTTGAACTCGTGAGTTGAGTCCTGGTCTGGACAGGAGGTTCATAAGTTGAGGGGCTCCTGGAGGCAAGAATAATGAAGGTGCAGAGAGGCTGAGTAACTTGTTCCAGACTGTGTGGCTGGTATGTGCCTGGACAGGTTTCAGAGTCATTGTGTAACAGCAAGAATACATTACATTGCCTTGAGATATTTGCAAATGAAGTCTCCTTAGAAAAAATTAATCATCAGCAATATTTTTAAATCAACAGACTTTTAAGGTCACCAACTATGGGAATTTCCTTGGTAGCCCAGTGGCTAAGACTCCATGTTCCCAACGCAGGGGGCCAGGGTTCAAACCCTGGTCAGGGAACTAGATCCCACATGCTACAACTAAGAGTTCACACGTCGCAACTGAAGATCCATCATGAGGCAACAAAGACCCAACACAGCTAAATAAATGAATAAAAATGTTTAAAAATCACCAAGTATGTGAAAGCACAACTTTAAAGTAGACCTCATGCATAAAAATAAGGTGGAAGCATTAGCTTCATGGAAAAACAAAATTTTTATTATTAATAATTTCAGAATTAATAGATAATTGAGATTATGTACATGAAAAGTTAGAAGTTTGATTAATACTGTTGAAATGTTATAAGGCTCCAAAACCAACTGATTTTGTTGCTGTTATTGTTTGCTGTGTCTTCTACTGGAATAAGGACATTGTTCATCTTGTTCCCTGCTACACAGCAGGTGTACACAGCTGGTACACAGCAGGTGCTCAGTAAATGAACCCTGACTGAATGAATGAGTGTATTTACCAGACTTACTGAATAAGCTGAGAACGAGACTATGGACAATGACAGGAAAAGAAGAATCTTGAGGAAGTGAACCAGTCAGAGGATTGGGAGTGAAAAGAGAAGTCAAAAAGTAATCAGTGGGATGGAGGCCAATCAAGAAAGTGAAGGATCCTGAAAGTCAAGAGTAGGGAGAAATCTGGGAAGTGGTGAGTAGCATTAGGAAACACTGCAAATAAATGGGAAAGCACTATTGCATTTGGTTTTGGGGTGGGGGAGCTGAAAAAAATGCAGCTGTGTAAGAGAAACTGGAGTGGAACCCCATTTGCACAGGAATCAAGGAGTGATTAGGATACTAGGCAGGAAGCCCAGCATTGAACAGAAGAGTTGACAGCATTGGGCAACTGCTAGTAGAATGCAAGGACATTGTTAACTCAGTAGAAAAGCATTCTGTTGTCACTCTGTCATTGTCTCAAGTGGGGGCTCCCTCTCACCCATCCTTTGTCCTAAAGGAACAAAAGGAGCCTTGAATTTCATGAGTGCCCCAGTGATGGGTCTGAGAGCTCAGGCTTTGGAATCAGACAGTCCAAATTCAGATCGTGCAGAGAGACGTTCCACTGTCTAACTTCTGAGTATAATAAATTTATTAAATTTNTGTTCAAACTACCGCACAACTGCATTCATTTCACATGCTAGCAAGGTAATGCTTAAAATCCTTCAAACTAGGCTTCAACAGTATGTGCACTGAGAACTTCCTGATGTACAAGCTGGATTCAGAAAAGGTAGAGGAACCAGAGATCAAGGTTCAAGAAGCAAGGGAATTCCAGAAAAACATCTGCCTTATTGACTACTCCAAAGCCTTTGACTGTGTGGATCACAACAAACTGTGGAAAATTCTTCAAGAGATGGGACTAACAGACCATCTGACCTGCCTCCTGAGAAATCTGTATGCAGGTCAAGAAGCAACCGTTAGAACCGGATGTGGAACAATGAATTGGTTCAAAATTGGGAAAGGAATATGTCAAGGCTGTATATTTTCACACTAATTATTTAACTTATATGCAGAGTACATCATGCGAAATGCTGGGCTGGATGAAGCACAAGCTGGAATCGAGGTTGCCGGAAGAAATATCAATAAAATCAGATATGCAGATGACACCACCCTTATGGCAGAAAGTGAAAGGAACTAGAGAGCCTCTTGATGAAGGTGAAAGAGGAGAGTGAAAAAGCTGGCTTAAAACTAAACATTCAAAAAACTCAGATCATGGCATCTGGTCCCATCACTTCATGGCAAATAGATGAGGAAAAAATGGAAACAGTAACAGACTTTGTTGTTGTTATTGTTCTATTCCTTTTTTTCTTTTGTTTTCAGACTTTATTTTCTTGGGCTCCAAATTCACTGCAGATGGTAACTGCAACTACAAAATTACAAGACACTTGCTCCTTGGAAGAAAAGCTATGACAAACCTAGACAGCTATTAAAAAGCAAAGACATCACTTTGCCAACAAAGGTCCCTCTACTCAAAGCTATGGTTTTTCCAGTAGTCATGTATGGATGTGAGAGCTGGACCATAAGGCTGAGCGATGAAGAATTGATGCTTTCAAATTGTGGTGCTGGAGAAGATTCTTGAGGGTCCCTTGGACAGCAAAGAGACCCAACCAGTCTATCCTAAAGGAAATCAGTCCTTAATATTCATCCGAAGGACTGATACTGAAGCTGAAGCTCCAAAACGTTGGCCACCTGATGTGAAGAGCCAACTCATTAGAAAAGACTCTGATGCTGAGAAAGATTGAGGGCGAGATGAGAAGGGGGCAACAGAGGATGAGATGGTTGGATGGCATCATTGACTCAATGGACATGAATTTGAGCAAACCCTGGAAGGTAGGGGAGGACAGGGAGGCCTGGTGTGCTGCAGTCCATGCGGTCACAAAGAGTCAGACACGACAAAGCAACTGAACAACAACAAAAACCCCAGACATTATATATAAGACATGAGAGGAAATCTAAAATATGGAGAGAAAAAATGCAGACAGGCTAGGGACTTTGGGATCTGAGGCACAATCTAGTGATGAGTTGCCTGTGTTTTCTTTTAATCTCATGGTTCCCAGACCTGGAGCTGAAGAAGCTGGCATCCTAGAAATGTCAAAAGGAGCAAACAAACAAACAAAAAGTCCCCAACACAAGTTAAA